GTGACAACTGCCAAATGCACACCAACATCCTTCACCAACCTGCCACCGACCTGAGATATCTGACCAGCTCGTGGCCTTTCGCCTAGTGGGGAATCAACATCCTCGGTCCCTTCCCACCTGCAACCGGGTAAAGAAGGTTCCTAGTCATGGCAGTTAATTTTTTCACGAAGTGGGTGGAGGTCGAGCCATTGGTAACGATCACAGCCAAGAACATGTAAAACTTCTTTTGAATGAACATAGTATGTCGCTTCGAACTACCCAGGGTGTTGATCTCAAACAACAGAATCCAGTAGAACTTCACATCGGTAGCGCATCCCCAAGCGAATTGACAAGTTGAAGGGACAAACAGGACAATTCTTCACGGATTGAAAGCTCACCTGGCGCGAGCTAAGGGTTCGTAGGTGGAAGAGCTGCCTAGTGTCCTTTGGGCCTACAGAATTACTGTCAAGATTGCAAAAGGTGAGACGCCATTCAATCTGACGTATGGAACGGAGGTCGTCATCCCAACCGAGATCGAAGTACCAACCTTGCGACTAGAGGCATATGACGAGGATGCCAACGACAATGAGCTATGGACGAACCTCGACCTGATCGAAGAGGTGCGTGACCTGGCCTACATCCAAATTACAGCCTACTAGCAACGGGTAGCTCAGTACTACAATGCCCAAGTCAATAGACGTCAATTCCGAGTTGGCGACCTTGTGCTCTAAAAAGTAATGGTGCCTGAGCCCGGTGTAGATAAGCTCAGACCAAACTAGGAAGGTCCATTTAGAGTGAGATGGGTATCCGATGAAGGCATATACGAGCTCGAGACGTTGGAAGGGAAGCAGGTGTCACGTGCTTGGAACGTTGACAAGTTGAAGAAATACTACTTGTGAGCTTGAAGAAAAGCATCCACCAAAATTTTTCTATGTCAAAAAGACCAATGAACTGGTTAGGCCGCAGGTCAGCTAAATGATACAATAGAGAATGGACTACAAGTCACTCCCGAAGCCTAAGGGCCAAGGTGCTGAGCTAGAAAGTAACCTCGGCACTAAAAATGAGTAAGACCCAATCGCTTCCTAAGCATATGGGCAATACAAGTGATCTCAATTTGTGCCATGTCAGTGCACAAGCAGGTCAGGTAAATACCCTACTATGCCTATCCACCTCGGCTCACATTAATTTCAGGCTATTCCTTACTATGCCTAGCTTGTCAGCTCGACACCTCGGGGTAATCTATACTTCGAAATTTTTTTGCAAAGTTCATATTATTATACATGAAGTGACGAAAAAAGGAAAGCATTTCATTACTTCCCAACAAAGAAGAGGTCTTGTACATCCAGCGAAAAAAAGGGGGGGAGAAAGAAAGAGAAGCTCTACTGAACCAAGCTCGGAAGCTCGGTCTACACTGTGTTTACAAGGAGGTCCAAAGAAAAGAGGCAGAAAATCTTCACAGGGGCTCCTCGCCCCCACCTTCAACGCTTCTGGGGTCCCTAGCTGGCTCAACCGTCACAACTTCATCAGCTGCAGTATCCTCATCGGCCTTTACGGCCTTGTCGACTACGGCGTCCAAGTCTTTCTCCATCGCTCCCTTGTTGAGCTCCTCGTCACCCCCCTCATTGGAGTCCGGCTCTTTGGCAGCTTCTAACACCATCTCGATGGTGATCCCAGCAAATGTGATGACTCCGAGGTCGAGCTCGGGGAACTTATGCTTGGTCTCCCAGCGACAGAGCTTGAAACCTTTCAAGAAGGCATCAATTCTGAGCTCCTCCTTCATCTTGTTGTACTGGTGAGGCCTGGTAAGCTTTGACAGCAGCAACCTCAACATCCTTAATGCCTTGAAGAAGAGCGACCTCGCGTTTGGCAGAAACGGCCTTTAGCTCCTCAATCTCCTTCTCTAGGTGCTCGACTCACTCCTTCTGTACCAGCACTTCGGCCTCCAGTTCTCAAACAAAATCAACAGCCTTCAACATCTTGGTCTGGCACTCCGCGACTGTAGCCTCAGCTCGCTCAGCCATTGCTTCGGTGACCCTTACCCTTGCAGCGTGATGATCGAGCTATTGCATAAGAGTGTGGATCATAGAGTTCGCCTGAAGAAAAGAAGAAAAGTTCGCTAAGTGTGGAAGATAGAACAAAACAGAAACCAAGTATTGAGTTCAGGAGTATACAATCATGACATAGCCCGCCGCCCTAGCACCCACTTGAGCGTACAACAACTTGGCAAACTTATCGATCTCTTCGGGAAAAGTCGCCTCCTTGCTTTTTATCAGGTTGGTTCTACCGTTCATGATGCTTTGGACCAACTCGGGGCCCTCTCCAAAGGAACTGGCTCCAAGATGGATGGTTTGAGGCTGTTTGGATGGTGGAGCTGACTTAGGTCGGTGAGGAGACTAACCCTTCTCTCGGTCCTCCTCGACCAAGCTGATGACTAGAGGGTCCTCGAGTTGAGAAGGAATAGCTGGCTCAGTGGGGGGTGCTTAGGAAAAGTCTTAATGCGTCGTCTTTTTCTTCTTCCTCTTCCTCATGCTGACGAAGAGGTTAGCCATCGGAGCGCTCGACATAATGCCTATAATAAGCAAGTACTAGATTAGTCAAAATGATGTAAAAAAGGAAAGTGTGTGCATGTACTGAGGTGGCAACCTACCTGGAGGATTCAGCCCAGCATTGACAAGCTTGTCCTTGGCCAAGTAATCTCCCAATTTCAGGTCGAGCTCGACCAACTTTTGCATCTTCTTCCTCATCTTCCTACTTAGCCGATCCCCGGGATCACTGATGGTGGTTCTCTACCGAGTTGAGAAGGGCCACCCCCCTTCAACAATCACAATGAAATACCTATTTTTCTAGGACAACACTTTGGAAGGATATTCGTGAAGCAATTTGTACCCAAGTCGGTAAGCTATGTAATAGCTAAACTTATTAACCCATGGAAGGCCGGCAAGGTTTTTCTTGATTGAGCAGAGCGGGGTGAAGGTGTCTATATCTAAGGAGAGGCCACTATCACGGAACAAGGAAATGGTGCCGACCACAGTGCGAACTGAGTTTGGGTGGAGTTGATCTATGGTGACACCGAAAAAATTCAGGACCTCGACTACAAAGGGGTGGAGAGGAAACCGGAGCCCGACAATCAACTATTCCTCGAAGACAGCGATCTCATCGTCATTGTGCTCCCAAGGAAAATTTTCTAGTGGAAGGTTGTAGCTAAGGTGATCGGGGAGCTTAAAATGGGCGACCAGAGCCTCAACCCTCTCCAGCGTCATAATAATGGGACCAAAGCAATCTAGACCCCGAGCACGGCGAGAGGACGAAGCCTTTTTACTAGAAGCTTTTCATTCCTAAACCGAGGCACCCTCCTCGGCTGGGCCAAACTCCAAGATGCGGGCTGACGTGGCCATCTCAGCCGACCCGGACTCTATGTCTTGGACCGAGGTACCCACCTCGGCCCCACCGGACTTGCCACTCATGTCAAACAGGCTACCCGTACTACTACTAGACATACTAGAATAAAGGTAAAAAACAGGCAAGGAATGAAGGTAGAGGAAGGCGACTTACCTAAAGACGAAGAGCGACCACGGGAACGAGACAAGGGATCACTGACCTAGAAGCAAGTGTGCAACCTCAGAAATTCAAATACGCGAGATATGACGAAGCGAATGGGATTCAAGGCCCCTACTTATAGCCACTGTAGTCGATCTTGAACGGTCTAGATCGAAGCAATCTGATGACTCTCATAAAAACCAGTCGCACACCTCCCGATACCGAAATTGACTGAGAACGCATTTTGACGTCCGCGGAATTTTTAATCTGCATGACGTCCGCATGTCCCTGATACGCGATCAAGCCGGGCAGGTCATTGTGGTTTGACCGCCGGACCGGACCTCAACCTAGAAGAAAACCGGGCCAAACCCACCTAAGCTCGTCATGAACTCCCCGCACCGGGTCAAGACCCCTGGCATGGGGAGTGGGGGGCAATTGATGAGGGGTGATTTGGCTTGACCTGCAAAATAGCAAACACATGGATGCGACTTGATGACTGGACAGTGACTCGACATTTCCTACCACCTTAGTAGGCCAGGTCACCTCGGGTACCTCGATCACCTCGGCCAGGACCGAGGTCTGAGTAGCTTGGGATGGCCCAACTTACAAAGGTGACACATAGTAGACTTCTAGAAGCATGCGAGTTGTCTCCGAGCTCTTCAAGATAACACCGCATGATTGCGGGTCGTATCCTCACCCCGCCCAGATCGGGCGAACACGATAAGCCTTATCGACTAGCACGATATCCACCTCTCGGATGAACAAATTCCTAACAGCATGGATCGAGGATCTCAGAGGTGTTTCGTGAGACTCACAACAGCTCAACTATATAAGGGCACATACCCCTATAGTACAAGGTACGCACGATTTAGTGTATTCTAGCTCTCTAATCTCTTACTCTCAAACTTTCATCTCGCACAACTAGATATTAACTTAAGCATCAAAGCAACCACGTCGAGTGAGCCACCCCAAGTTCTCTGAGATATCCTATCTTGCAGTTCGACTAGCCAAATAAGCGATCGACATTCGAACTACCATCCAACTAGCAGAAACTAGATCACGCACCATCCACTTTTAAGGACAATATTATGCAAACAAGATATAGAATTAATTTAAGACATGAACTAAAACCAAGATAATATTAGTATCTATACTACTTTATAAAAGAGAGAATGTTCTTTTTTTCTAGATTTTTGATTGAACATTTTTACCCTTTTGTTTAAACATATAATGGGTATAAAAAAGGGCATATATATCATTTACTCTCACTTTAGAAAATACCCACTTGCAACTGTTCAAAAACTAACAGTATTGGAACCATGAATTATTCTCAAAAATTATCCATTTAATACCTTAATTAATTTTTGAATAAATAAATTACAAAAAGTGATCATAAATTATATAAATAAATTATAAAAGCTTAATCATAAATTATAAATAATTTTTGTTAGAGATACGTGAAAATACACGTACACGCTTACTAGTATGAGTAAATAGACGAATTTATTTAGAGATTTTAGGAGTTCCAAATGAGGCCTCATAGGCCTCTATATCTGATATACAGCATAAAGAAGAGAACCATTGAAACTTTCACACGTGGACACGGTCAAACAGACAGGAGATATCATAAGCAGGAGGATCAATAGATGGAAGGGTTTCAGAAGCCCCCACGAAGGCGGAGAACAAGGTGGAGGGTGGATTCCTTCTGGATGTTGTAATCGGCGAGGGTGCGCCCATCCTCAAGCTGCTTACCAGCGAAGATGAGACGCTGCTGGTCCGGAGGGATACCCTCCTTGTCCTGGATCTTCGCCTTCACGTTGTCAATCGTATCCGAGCTCTCCACCTCCAGTGTGATGGTCTTCCCCGTCAATGTCTTCACGAAGATTTGCATTCCCCCACGTAGACGCAGAACCAAGTGAAGGGTGGACTCCTTCTGAATGTTGTAGTCCGCCAAGGTGCGGCCATCCTCAAGCTGTTTCCCAGCGAAGATGAGCCTCTGCTGGTCTGGTGGGATACCCTCCTTGTCCTGAATCTTGGCCTTCACATTGTCGATGGTATCGGAGCTCTCCACCTCCAATGTGATGGTCTTACCGGTAAGAGTCTTCACGAAAATCTGCATACCTCCCCTCAGACGGAGCACGAGGTGGAGGGTCGACTCCTTCTGGATGTTGTAGTCGGCTAGGGTCCTGCCGTCTTCGAGCTGCTTTCCGGCGAATATGAGCCTCTGCTGGTCGGGGGGGATACCTTCCTTATCTTGGATCTTAGCCTTCACGTTATCGATGGTGTCGGAGCTCTCCACCTCAAGGGTGATGGTCTTGCCGGTCAAGGTCTTGACAAAGATTTGCATGCCTCCCCTTAGACGGAGCACAAGGTGGAGGGTGGATTCCTTTTGGATGTTGTAGTCGGCAAGGGTTCTACCGTCCTCGAGTTGCTTTCCGGCGAAGATCAAACGCTGCTGGTCCGGAGGAATACCCTCCTTGTCCTGGATCTTGGCCTTGACGTTGTCGATGGTGTCGGAGCTCTCGACCTCAAGGGTGATGGTCTTGCCGGTCAATGTCTTGACAAAAATCTGCATCCCACCCCTGAGACGGAGGACGAGGTGGAGGGTCGATTCCTTCTGGATGTTGTAGTCAGCGAGTGTTCGGCCGTCCTCTAGCTGCTTGCCGGCAAAGATCAGACGCTGCTGGTCAGGGGGAATACCCTCCTTGTCCTGGATCTTAGCTTTGACGTTGTCGATAGTGTCGGAGCTTTCGACCTCGAGGGTGATGGTCTTGCCAGTAAGGGTCTTGACGAAGATTTGCATCTGCACAACGTAAAATAAAACCTTATGAGATTGAAGGATCAGAGAGGAGAATAATAGCTAGGAGTAGAATAAAATAGAAAATCGAATTAGTCAGAATTAAACAAAATTCCGATAAAAAAATAATAACAAAAGATTTCCCATGGGAAGAGAAATAAAAGCAGAACGCAAAAGGGGAAGGCTTGACAGATTCCCCAAAATCCTTTTACAAAGAAAAGTCTGCAACTAATCCAATACGTGGATCATGAATCAGATTCAACAGAAACAGAGGAAATCAAAATCAAAGGATATAGGAAGACGATGATGACTCAATCCATACTTGAAATCGATAAAACCAGAGATAAATAAAGAAGAGAAATTGAAGCCACGGACAAAAGATCAAGCAAAAGAAGCCGAGGAATGGAAGAAAGAGGGCTGGAACAAACCTTGAGAGAATGAGATTGAGGGGGCTTCTACGGGTTTGGGAAGGAAGGATATGAATGCAGGAGCGGAGGAAGCGAGCAGTGCTATTTGTAAAGGTAGGGATGCCGACGGACGGTAAAAGAAATCCAATAAAGTAAAGACACGTATAAGGTATGACCTGGCAAGCACGGACTAAACTTGCACCGCAGAGAAAGAAAGGAGAAAGACTCAAGACATTTCGTGGGACGTGGGTCTATTGTAGCCGGAGCGGAAAGCGGTTTCCGATAACCAGGATTGACGATTGAGATATTTGAAGGTGTAGCGACGCTACAGGACAGGAGGACGGTTGACCCACTCCGGTCATTATTCATTAATGACGTAAAAGGAGTTGAGAAATTAGACAGACGGTCGTTATGAACCTAGATAATCGACGAAAATTTATAACGGAGTTATCGCTGCTCCGTCCCTATTTTTTTTTGTGTTTTGAGCGTTATCTCTTTTCATATTTTATAGCCAATTGCATTATTCAAAGAGGGATTGGGATTTGGAATATTGAGTTTTCACTTTTTTAAGCTGTGTTTGGTTTGAAGAAAACAATAAGAAAAAGAAAAAAAATTTAAAAATACCTACAAATCTTGTATACGTTTTTCTACCTTTTCATTCTTTTCCTTCAAACTAAGCATAACGTAGGGAGAAACCAGAAACGAACAAAGTCCGGGTCCCACAACAGGACGAGGATGTTGCCTAGCCGGCACCTTCTCAGCCTTTATTTTCTTACTTTACCCAAAGGAAAATCAGGAAAAAAGATTGTTTGGCAGGAAAAAAGATAAGCTTTCATTATGTCTTTTTTGCTTTTATCCCCTCAAGAGGCAAAGAGCAGGTCAAGTGGACTAATAAAAAATCAGAATATCTTTTTCTTGGTCTTCCTTTTTCCGATGTGATAACTCCTGATCATCTCATCTCAGCTCAACGACCTATCGAGTCTTATGGACCCCACATCACATGCCCGCAGGAAAAGTATGTAAATAGAAAGAGTCAAAATATGAATGAATTATGACCATTTGATTTACAGAAGACGATCTTGACCATTTAAATTAACGTTTCAGACTTCAGAGTCGTTTCAGACTTCGATGTTGCTAGCGTGCACCGACTGCAATCCATCTACCAAATTTTTTTTTTTTTTTTTTCCACTTTGGCGGGGCTTCACCGCACGGTCTTCCAAACACAAAATTAAGAATACATGTAATTCAGTTTAGATAGAATAAAAATTCAAAAGCATGCGTAGATGATAGATGATTGGTTATTTATAAGGGTAGGTAGGTGATCGATAGTCTTACATTTCTGCCTTTCAAGTATTAAATCTGACATGAAACGCACGTCCGACGTGTACGTCCAATACAAGACGACAGAGAGGGAAGAATAATCAAGATTCAAGAGAATATGAGCGCGCCTTACACCAACCTCATTCATGTGAGGCGCGCTCAGTTAGGAGCAGATCCGAACTCATGAACCGGTACACGGGTTTGTATTTGTTTCTGTGGGAAAGCCAAAAAGTCTTCTGATTTATTATTTTTTCCAAGAGTCTTCTGCATGTGCAAATCCCATAATAATTAATGCTCCAAATATTCAAACACTCTGTCCAATGTCATTGCTCCAATTCGTATTGCACGTTATTTGAATTATTTCCTTTTATCAAATCTTTATATTATGATAAAGTAAACTAGCGGGAGATCCGTGTGATGCACGGGAAAATAGTTTTATTTAATATTAATTAATAAATCAAAATTTATTGTTAATTAATTAAAAGCATTCAAAATTATTGTTAATATTTAAAATTTTAATAATCGTATTTTTCTTTTGATGTTGATTTAATATGAGCAAATATTTTTTTATAAATTTAGTTTTATTAATACTTTGTAGTAATTTTAATTATTGTTATTATTTTGATTATTTTTAAATGAAATTTTGATTAATTTCAAATAAATAAAAATAATTACAAAAGTTGATATTTTTATCAATTTCACTAATAATTAACAATTATATAGGAATGACAATAAGGTGGGGCACCCCATCCCTCTCCCTACCCCATAGTCAAGACACTCTACTATATCCCTGCCCTGTCCCAAGTGTTAAGTGGGTTTAGTGCAAAGCAACCACTCCTCAATGTCGTGCGAGTTTAGGGGTAAGGCACCCCACTCCTCGTCAAGGATGGGAAATCCTCGAATTCCCCCGCCTTGTCCCCAATATTGGGTGGGTTTAAGTAGAGGCGTAAATTGGGTTGTGCTAGGCTGGCATGACACAGGTCTATGGGGCGTCCTAAGTCGTGCCTCCCTCCCCTGGGATAATTTGGGGGGTCAGTTCAGCATAGCCCACGGCTCGAGCCCATGCTATGCCGTGGGCCAGGTTGGTCCATGGGCCGAGCCTTAGGCCAGGCCAGGCCGCAAATCGGGCCAAGCTATGAGAGGTCCATTTAAAAAAAAGGAAATTGAAAAAGATGTTTAAATTTTTATTTCATATGAATTTTGATGTATAAAATTGTTTATATATACAATTAGACATATTCATGGGCTGGGTAGCCCGACAGCCTGACCCGTTCTTTTTCAGGCTTAGACAAAATTTCAGGCTCATGGGCTTAAGCTTGAGCTTTCTCAAATAAGCCCGGCTTGATACTATTACATATATAAAAAAGTACTTATGTTATATATAATAAATATAATATATATGTATACTTCTTAAATTATTAATAAATATAAATTTACTATTAGGAAACATAAATTAGTTTATTAATTTATTACTAAATTAATACAATATTAGTTTATAAAAGTACACTAAAAATAAGACATTTTGTGTGCAGATCGGGTTTGGGCTTAGGCTCGAGCTTTGGGCTTTATATAAGGGTTGGGCATGGGCTCAAGATCTAGGCCCAATGGTTGAACCGATCTCAGGCTCGGGTTTGCACATTTTCTGTTGATAAAGAGGCCTATGTTAATTATAAAACTATGATTTTTTACAAATTAACATTTTTATTTAATTATATTCTAGTATAAAAAATAATAACATTTTTATATATATTAATATAAAATTTGTTGTTTAAATATTATATAATAATATTTACCATATATGCATATAGCTTCCAAGTTGAGCTTATTAGGGGTTATTTAGCTTGGGCCCTATCCACTAAAGCCATCATTGGAATCCGAAAGTTTGATATCCAATTAGACTTCAAATCTGATTATCCCTGATAATGTGTGGGCATAGTGCATATCTCAGTTAGACCAAACTCAAAAGAAAACAATTGCTTGAGCCTACAAATTTATAGATCTAATAGTTGCTTAAGTTATAAACGATTTGTTAATTTTTATTAATTATTAAAATATTGTTAGCTATTAAAACATTGTAATTATTAAATTACTATATTTATTTAAAATATAGTAATTTCTAGGAATTATCATATTTTAAAAAATATTGCTAATTTCTTAGCTAAAACTAATTAAATGTATTTTTCTGGTAATTAAATATAACTTTTTGGTAATTAAATGTAATTTTCTATTATTTATAGCTTAAATTATAATTACTATTAACTATAGTTTAAAAATAATTATTGTTAATTATATTACTATTAATAATTAAAATGCATTATTTTTTTTCATTATTATTCAGTATATTTTGCAATAAAATACAATTAATTAAAATTTTAAATTATTTTTAGTACTTTAATTAAGCTTTAGGACTTTTAGAATTTTCGGATTTTTAATTAATTTTTGGTGTTTTTTCATTATTATTTAATTATTTTTGCATATGGGCATTTTTCAATAATTTTCAGTATTTTCAGCATTTATTTTTGCATATTAGTCACTACAAAATTAATTTGCATTTGCTTTCAGTAAAAATAAATTAAATAACTAAATAAATACCATAATTAATAAAACATACAACTACTTTTCAATATTTTTCAATAATTTCTAGCTTGGGTATTTTTTAATAATTTTTGGTATTTTTAATAATAAAATACTATTAATTGTAATTTTTACTTATTTTCAATAAATACCCTTATTAATATAAAATATTGTTAATTTTTAATATACTTTTGATTATTTTTAGTATTTTAATTATGTTTATGCTTTTTAGAATTTTTCGGGTTTTTAATTAATTGTTGGTATGTATTTTTTCATTATTATTCAGTAATTTATGCATATGAGTAATTTTCAATAAAATATTGTTAATAAAACATGTCCTACATTTTAAATTTTCATTAATTTTTAATGAATTCATTAAGCCCAATAAAGGCTTCAACATATAAAAATTATTAATTAATTAAAAATGCATTAATACAAAGTTATCTAATAATATTATGAAAACTATCAATTAATATTTTTATATTTAAATTTCTTATTTTTAATTAACTGTGGTATTTTTTCATTATTATTCAGTAATTGTATTAAAATGCTCTTAATAAATTGGGTTCTACATTTTAAAATTTCATTGATTTTTATCATTTTTTAATTAGTTCATTATTCACGATAAAGGTCTCAAGTTTTAAGTTATCTAATAATATTATTAAAAGTTTAAAACTATCAATTAATATTTTTATATTTAAATTTCTTATTTTTATTAAAGTTTATTAAGTTTGATTTTTAAGTGGAATTGAAACACATTTTTAATATTTATTAAGTTTTGTTAACATTCATTTTTAGTGAAAGTTTAGTGGATTTTCAAATTAATAATTTTTTGATTGTTTAACCTCAACCTATTTATATTATTCTCTCTCTCTCTCTCTCTCTCTCAAATGTCTTTTTTAAATGTAACAATAATATGCATTAAAATAAGAGACCTTGGAAAACCCAAAGGTCTCTCTAATAGTGTGCAGCTTTATTAATCTAATCAAGATACACAATGATTATTGTTTTATATTTTTAAAACAAAAGAAAATAAGAAAAATGCAAAAAATAGAGAAAATAGATAAATAGCTTCTCTCAAAGGAGAGACATGCTAATATGGACACACCAATTTTATATATATATTAGCGAAACGCTCGTAAGGGATTGTTTAGAAGTCATGATAGAATTCATAATAGTATGTATAGAAATGAAGAATAGATATAGATTAATTAATTTAAAATTATTGAAAAAATT